GAGCTACAATCTGAGCTAGAGCTTAAATAAGTTAAATATTTATAGAAGGTGGATGGTAGGTGCAAAGTTAGAGTGCCAGGTTCAAATCATTTTCATTTTCTCTAAACAGTCATGCAGAACACAGGCAAGAACACACATACCACAACAGGAAAGTTCATCACCAACTTTTCCCTAGCAGGAAATACAGTGGAGACACACTAGTCACCCTAAATTTAAATAGCCCTATGTTTTATCCAGAATAATACGACAGCCCCTTTGAAGAGAAATGGATGGCCTTACAAAGGAAAAACTTGGCTTCCAGCTGTTTTCTCAAAAACAGTGAGGAATCTACTTAAGAAAAAAATATGTGAACGAAAAACCAGAACTTTAAAGGCAAACAGAGTTACTTTGTCAGATCTTTTGCTATCAGAAGGTCTGTGCCCCTTCGGAGTGACGAGGGGTCTCATGCTGATTATAAGAGGTTGCCCTCAAATCCTTTTCCTTGTTTAAATGCTTCCTTCTTATAGTATAAATTTGTCTTTTATTTCTTAGGAACAAAGCTGGAGTCACTGTCCTATCTTACAAAGTAATTTTATTCTACACAAAGATCACTGAATGAAATATCCCTTCAGGGCAGAATAATGGAAAAGGAAGGGGAAATGAATATAAAATAGTCAGCCCTTAAACCAACCACACATTGAAAATATTTTATTTTAAACCCAGAAATTTCCAAAATGCAAAACTTGGAGCTGGATGGTGGCTCAGGAATAAGATGTTGGAGGCTGACTCAAATGGAAAGGTTCTAGGCTCATATCTGGAGACCTCCCTGAGTATGTCAGGCATGTATGTGTGACCAGGATCTTGGGCTGGCTGTGGCTAGGGGTGGAACAAAGTGCTGAGACCTGGCTAGGAGAGCCACCTCTGTCTCTCTCACTCATAGAAAAAATAAATAAACTTTAAAACAAGTTTTTTGGGTTTTTTTTCAGGGCTGGCCCCCATAGCCTGATAGGAAGACAGGTCACATATGCCTGCCTATAGTTCAAATACCAGTCCTTGCTTAGAAAGCATGCAGGCTGCATGCACATGCATGACCTAAATCCCAATGGGATGGAGAAATGGAAGAGACAGGACTGTGGTGTGACCAAGTCTCATTGGAGGGTGTTTTCTCTTTTTCTCCCCCACTCTCTTGTGAGCACACATACCTTCTGGGGGGAAGAAATTAAGGTAGAATGTGAATTTGCTGTGCCAAGTACTACACTGAGTCCATACAAATGAAGTGACCTGTAGACATTATATCAAAGTACTGTAAGTAATCTAGAGATACTTACAGTATAGTGAGATACTTACAGAATAGTGTAGTAATTCCATATAATCTACACATACCCTCCTATGTACTTGAAATCATCTCTAGATTACTTACAGTACTTTGATATAATGTCTACAGGTCACTTCATTTGTATGGACTCAGTGTAGTACTTGGCACAGCAAATTCACATTCTACCTTAATTTTTTCCCCAAAATTACTACACTATTTTTTGTCAAAGACTTGAACATCCTAGAATTTTGGTATCCACGAGGGGTCCCGAAACCAATCTCCTATGGACATCAAGGAGGACTGTGTCAGTGAGAAGCTAAAATTAAGAATTCATACCAGAGAAGGTCTGCTGAAACATAAACATTCAAGCTTAAAATGTCAACCATTTCCTGTAGAATGCTGAATAACGGGCTCCCAAAGATATCTGTGTCCTAATCTGTGGAATCTGTAAGTGTTTCCTAACAAGGCAAAAGGGACTTTCAGATGTGATTAAGTTAAGGAAGGATCTTGAGATGTGAAGATTATTCTGGATTTTCCAGTAAGACCTAAATGTATTCAGAAGTATACTTACCAAAGGGGGAAAGGAAGATTTGACCAGAGAGGAAGCAGATGTTCTAACTTAACCAAGAGGCTAGAATGATGGCAGTATGGACCCACAAGCCCAGGAATGTAGGCAGCCTCCAGAAACCAGGAAATACAGGAAAGCAATTCTCTCTCCAAGTCATCCAGAAGAAGCCAACCCTGTGAATGCCTTGACTTTAGCCTAGAGAAATCAATTTCAGAATTTTGACCTCCATAACTGTAAGAAAATAGATGTGTGTTCTATAAGCTACTCTGTTGTTATTTGTTACAGCAGTCATAGGAAACTAACGACTGCAGTTTGAGTCCTGGACTTGGCAGCTTGAATCTCATGCCAGGTACAAGTGAAGCATGCCCCAAGTCAAGAAAGGAGAATGGAAGAGGAGAGATTGCGGCATGGAACTGCCCCCCGCTCCAGGGGGTGGGGGTGACTTCTCACTTTCTGTCTCTGTCAATCAGGCAAGCTCATGCGGCCTATAGCAAAAAAATATCTCTACACCCCCCCCCAAAAAAAAGGTAAGAGAAAGAGAAAAGTGGGTTTTGTCAATGATTAATTTATATTTTGTGGGACAAGCAGATGACATAATAGTTATGCCACTGGACCTCCACGTAGTCGACTACAGTTTGGGTCCCAGACACAGCACCTTAAAACAAACAGGGCATGTATGCATGCATGCCTAAAATCCCAAGAGAAGAATGGAAGAGAAGGGATTGAGGCATAGCCATCCTCCTGGCGGGGGGGGGTGGGGGGATGATTTCTTGCTTTCTGTCTCTCTGTCTCTGGTGAGTGTACCCACCTTAGGGTAAAAATCTATTTTAAAAAAAAGAAAGAAAGAAGGAAAGAAATAAAGAAAAGAGAAAAATAAATTAGATGTTGCTATTAGAAATTTCTGGTTTTCTATGTAAATTTAAGAAGCTTTAATTTTTTTTTTTTTTTTTTTTTTTTTTTTTTTTTTTGTTATAG